CCGGAACCACTCCATCCACACCCGAAGACCCACAGTCACTAAATTCCCCAACATCAGCCCAGGCAGACGACGAACGCCGGGAACGTTTGGGCACCGGCCTGAGATCGTCAGAGCCGGAAGCTGACTCAGAAACACGGGCCCCACTAGCCGGACGCACTGACGCCTGCCGCAGAACAGCAGCAGCCTCGACCACAGGGGGAACCGGACCACACACATCAGGGGCCCCCACAGCCACCCCAGCACCCAGCACAGCCGGGACCCGAGGCGAGGATGCAGGGCCAGGCGCAGCAACTGAAGTCGGGTGTGCACACGGCGATGCCTCACAGGGAGCAACAGGAAGGTCCACGGGAGCAACAGCGACAGGAGCAGGAGTAGCATCCGACGGCACCGCAACATCCGGAGGAGGGTCGATGACAACCGGGGGAACGTCGGGCGACGCAGGGGGAGCCTCAGCAACGAACGGGACGCTCACCTCCTCACCCCCGGAGTCCTCGTCCAGAGGGAGCGGCGGGAAATCCTCTTCCCGGAACAAGTTGACTTGAGCAACCGGGGCCGCATCGCACCCGGCAGCCTGATGCCCCAACAGGCTACACCGGAAACAGGTACGAGGCTGCCGGGCATAGTATACCCGGACGTAGTATCCTAGAAGCCGGACCGAAGATGGAATATCCGACCGCAGGCGCATCCCCAAGGTGCGAACGTTCGTCCGCCTACCTGCATACCTCCCAGAGGAGAGCGTGTTGACCCTCACACTGATGACCGCTCCAAACCGCTGAAAGTAACGCCAGAGAACGTCCTCGGGAAACTCCAGGGGCGCCCCATGCACACTGACATACGTCAGTGCACCACTACGGTCCGAGATGGATACAGAGCCGGCACCACCCGGCAGCGACAACGAACGTCCCTCGTAACGACGGAGAAAATCACGGTACACCTCCTCCGTCACGAACTTGATGACAACCCGGTGGGCAGTTACAAGCTCAATACCGTAAACGGCCATCACAGGGACACGGAGCATGTCGCACATGACCATTTCAATAGCCGCATATCCAGCACGACCAGTGAACTCCAGGCCCACGGAGTTCACGCGCTTAACAGGAGGAAGGGGACCACCCATGGCAAGCTCGCCACGTCAACACGCAGCCAGCAACAACAGCAGGGGGGGGGGGGCAGAGACGCCCATACCCCCTGGTGACGAAGACAGCGAACACCCCAAACTACCAGCGGCCAGACGACACGTCTGTACCCCACGGCAGCGCCAGGTGGACTCTGTCTTGAGACTAGTGGTGCCTCTGCCTTTCACTATCCTCAAGATACCCTGGCTCTCTGGATGGACAGAGACTATACGGCCCAGAGTCCACTCTGAACGTGGACCGCACTGTCCACCAGAACAACATCACCAGGTTTTAAATGAATTTTATTATAGGGGTCGTTTGCCTCCATAGTGATAATCCCTCAGAGCAGTTAGATAGTCTCAAGTCCAAATGTCATTCCACTGACTTATTACTCTTGACAGATGTTTGTAGCTCTGAACCAAGTCACTCTCTCAGACATCCGAAGGATCTCCTGGTTCCTCATCCGTGAGGGATGCAAGAGGTTAAGAAGTCCTCCATACATAAGGTGAGATGGACTTAATAGCTCACGTGGCGAGTGATCGTCAGAGAAGTAGATCAGTGGTTTGTTATTTACCCGAGATTCAATTTCTGTGACGACGATGTATAGCTCCTGTTGGTCAATCTTCTGGTGGTGTGTTTTCCTTAGACAGCATTCCACTTTGCCCACCATCCACCCGTAAAAGACTCCGTGCCACGGTGCTCTTCGGGGTATAAACTTCCAGTGATTCTACCGTTGATTTAGGGCGGAGCGTACCACTGGGTGATTTCAGACCTCTCTCATTCATACTTCGTCTGTTCATGCCAGGAGTCACTTCCAGGTGTACGTCTCTTGTAGTGGCACAGGTGAATAGGCAGATGTAAGCTTTCACCGGAACTTTATCTTTAGTGCTGGTTAATGTTATGGCTCCTGTGTAGTCTACACCAGTAGTCTCAAAAGAACGAAGGTGGACAACTGTTACGAACCCGGATCCAGCGTCCGAGCACGGAGCCGTGACGACCGCGCCATCTGTGGGTCAGCTCCCGAAACCCCCTCCAAAAGGACGACGACACCTGGTGAGGACGCCGTGTACCAGCTACGAGGGCTAGTCTCCAGTCTCGTTCAGCACTCTACACAGCCGCTGCTGACCTCTGGTGAGGTGGTGCTCAGACACCAGCGCCATCTATGGAGTGGATAGGTGGGCGTTTGTGTCTGAGCCTGTAAGTGAGGTGCCTTAGTGTGTCCCAGTTATTGATGACGTGTCTGCTTACAGAGTCGACCTGGGACTGCTGTGATGGGAGTTGAGTCAGTCTACCCGAGGCAGCCGTCTCCATACCTTGTACTTTGCTGCAGCAGTTGTGAAGTCGTCCCCCCGGAAGAACACTGTGGTGTGTTACCCTGCCAGTGGAGTGGCAGTAAAAGGATTACCCGGGACCGACTGTTGGAGACGATCATCCACTGGGGTATTGAGGACAGGAGAGTGATTTGTGGTGTCACACGAGGCTCCTGTCTAGGGCGTTCCCCTTATATCGTTCGTGGAGTGGCCTGACCAGCGTTGCGGGTCCGGAACCTGCCAGCAGACCGGCTGGATTTGTGGTTGACGGCCTCCACGGCGGTGCCCCCAGTGGACCTGTGTTTTGGCTGACCTGTGGCCAGGGTAGGCTCAACGTCGCAGAGATTTCATTGTGAGGCTACGAAGAAGCACCGAGGACTCAGCACCGAGCGTCTGGATCCAGAGTCTTCAGTTAGAAGACAATTGTGTGAACAATCCCCTTGTATAGTGTTAATACCCCTCCCCCTGTGTACTCCGTTTATATATTTATTTGGTGATGGTAATTATAATCTTAAGTTCTTAACGTTCTTTCCCTTCCCCCTTTAAGTTCCTTGCGTCACGGATCACATCCCTTGATAGCCACTACTGGCTTGGGAACGGATACAACTTCCTCTAACAACATCAGAGTAAGAACCCCGTTGCGTCCCGAGAGGGCCGTAACAACAACTTGTTCCCTAGGGAGTGGTGGAGGTCCTGGATAAGGACACACCCGAGCGTCGTACCTACAGCAGACTACACAGGAGTTTAATATGGACTTTACAGTCTGGCGACCTTGAGGAAGCCAGAACTGTTGTCTCAAGGATCTGAGGGTATCTAGTTCCCCACCATGTAGAGTGCAGTGTTTGTGTATATGTAACACAATTAGACTGCTTACTCTGTGGTTATGGGGGAGAGACAATTGATGTTTTATTTCTAGATTTCTCTGGGCATGCTGTAAGCGGGCCCCTGCACATTAATATGAAATAGCTGTCTGGGTCAGTCCGGAGACCCAGATCATTAATTGTTTTATCAGGAAGGTTTACAAAATTCCCCATGTAAGTTTCTGTTTATGCTCTTTTGACTCAGTATTTTTGGGCACTAGATAATTTATGTTTGATTTTTATTTTATTCTTGAAATCAAATACCCTTTGCATGAAACCTAACAATTTGTGGAAATCACAGTACTGATTAGGATCAATTACCAAAGTTCGGTGGGTTGGGGTGTTCTGGTTTCTCTGGGGGAACAGTGATATTGGTCACATTGACTTGTGGCTTTTGTTTAGGTCACTGGTCACTGACTAACCACTGGGATCCATTAAACCACATCTCGGTTTTAGCTAATTGCCTTAAAGTGAAGCCTCTGGAGAGGTAGTCAGCGGGATTCTCTTTGGTGGGTACATATCTTAGTTTGAACCCAGCCGACCCCTCTTTGATTTCCTTGACACGATTACTCACGTAAGGAGTTTTGCTATTGCCATTTCTCTCCCACTGTAGTTCTGCCTCACTGTCTGACCGTACCACTGTTTCTTCAAAGTAGATATTACTTCCGGTTTTGGTCAGATATTGAGCTAGTCTTACTCCTAACAGTAGGGCGGTTAAACTATGATATAGATGAATAAAGATGACTGATAATTCAGGAATGGCCAAACATGGGCTCGGGTGTCACATGCGCTTCTTTGACCTTTAATATGCCGTTCGTGAGCAATTCTAGTGAATTCAAATATTCTAGAAATTTATACCCGAATTCCAAGCAATAAACATGCGGTTTTATCAAGAGTTCTGATACCTAGGGGAGGAAGGAAGACCTAGTTTACGGGCTATTCATGCCCGCGTCACCTTTAGGGTGGCTCAATCTTTATCACTCGGTCTAGGGAAAGGAGTTCAGTATAAGTGAGACCCGATATATCCTGAACTACTGAAAGCTGGTGCGCGACCGATTTCAATTTTCACAACATATTGTTGTGAATCACTGTAATGTGAAAAGTAATTGTAATTGTAATATAACATAATTGAAAAGAATGTAATTGTGAAAGCCTGTAATGAAGTTTGTGAAGTGGAAGCCTCGTGCAATCCTTACAAAACAATACCTGACTTGGCTACTTCGTACGGCTCTGAAAACATATCAGCCGGATTTTAAATGACTTACAGCGAAGATGGAGATTTGGAAGACCATTAAAAGCAATAAAGAGCGTCTATAATAGCCTGATATGTGTAACATTGTAATTTTTGTCATAAAAAATATAATTATAATAAGACTATATAATAATAAGAATATTATAATAAATATAATAATTTTGTAAGGTGGAAATCTGATTAAAATATCTAAAAAATTTTGGTTTACTTGGTTACAAAATAGTGTATGTATCATTATAAACTTAAGTGTAAATTTTGTTTATGTCTGCGACTCTCAAACACCTTAGTTCTATCGTTTGAGGCTCTTACAGCATGCGAGTTTGCTCACCTTGTATTATAGATGGATACAGATAGCAAAGATACAGATAACTATAAATGAATTTAGATATATTTCTATGACTTAGAATTACAGATGGAATCAAATGTGTATGATATAGATGGATACAGATTTGATCTGCTAAAGATGGTTCTGGTTCGTGTGCTGGCTGACCTCGTTCATGGCCTGCTGCTACTACATCCTGAGCGGCATTACCGAGTACGAGACCTCGCCCACCCTCACCACCATCGACACTACGGACTTCCCCGTCTCCAAGGTCGGCTTCCCTTTCGTTACCTTCTGTAACCTCAACCAGGTGGCCAAGAGCCGCCACCCGCCCCGGCAGGAAGACACTATCGGCAGGTGAGTATAGTTTAATGCTAACGAGATTGGTAGTAGAGGTGTTAAGATATAATTAACCTGCTTGGCATTTCTTTCCTGAGTTACATAGAAGCGATTTCGACAATAAATTAGTTATATTAGGATGTGATTAGCTGTTTAAATATTATTTATTCCCCCCCTCCCCATGTGAAAATTATTGAGATTCTAAGGCAAAAAAATAGGACTATTAAGTCACTTCCACGGATTTCCAAATACGCGTTACTGTTTTTCCCGTTGTCTCCTGTCAGTGTTTATGTCGTCATGTTTCTTCTGACAGCATCTGGTCGACGACCGGGCCGCGGGGACGCTAAGCCCCGGAAGCACCTCAAGGTAAGGTATCACAATTACTGAAAAGTTAAAAAGTGCTAAAGGAGATTTCTTTCCAAAGTGATGCTGATGACCGCATTTATTTCATTGCGATTTTGATGTTGCAAGACAAGGTGATAAAATTAAATCCTTGGTGTCCCCAGCGCTGTGTGAAGAATGAACACTTGTTGTTCATACTGGTCTGGGGACAGTGTGAAGAATGAACACTTGTTGTTCATACTGGTCTGGGGACAGTGTGAAGAATGAACACTTGTTGTTCATACTGGTCTGGGGACAGTGTGAAGAATGAACACTTGTTGTTCATACTGGTCTGGGGACAGTGTGAAGAATGAACACTTGTTGTTCATACTGGTCTGGGGACAGTGTGAAGAATGAACACTTGTTGTTCATACTGGTCTGGGGACAGTGTGAAGAATGAACACTTGTTGTTCATATACTGCTATTGTTTCTCATTACTTTCCCATAGAATAAAGAACACTCTTTGTTGTGAACCTCAACTCCCTGCGGTGAATCACTACTCCCTGTGGTGAAGCACCACTCCCTGTGGTGAAGCACCATTCCCTGTGGTGAAGCACCACTCCCTGTGGTGAAGCACCACTCCCTGTGGTGAAGCACCACTCCCTGTGGTGAAGCACCACTCCCTGTTGTGAAGCTCCACTCCCTGTGGTGAATCACTACTCCTTGTGGTGCTTCACCACTCCCTGTCTTGAAGCACCATTCCCTGTGGTGAAGCACCACTCCCTGTGGTGAAGCACCACTCCCTGTGGTGAAGCACCACTCCCTGTGGTGAAGCACCACTCCCTGTGGTGAAGCACCACTCCCTGTGGTGAAGCACCACTCCCTGTGGTGAAGCACCACTCCCTGTGGTGAAGCACCACTCTCTCTGATGAAGCACCACTCCCTATTGTGAAGCTCCACTCCCTGTGGTGAAGCACCACTCCCTGTGGTGAAGCACCACTCCCTGTGGTGAAGCACCACTCCCTGTGGTGAAGCACCACTCCCTGTGGTGAAGCTCCACTCCCTGTTGTGAAGCACCACTCCCTGTTGTGAAGCAACACTCCCTGTTGTGAAGCTCCACTCCCTGTTGTGAAGCTCCACTCCCTGTTGTGAAGCTCCACTCCCTGTTGTGAAGCTCCACTCCCTGTTGTGAAGCTCCACTCCCTGTTTTGAAGGTCCACTCCCTGTGGTGAAGCTCCACTCCCTGTTGTGAAGCACCACTCCCTGTTGTGAAGCTCCACTCCCTGTGGTGAAGCACCACTCCCTGTTGTGAAGCTCCACTCCCTGTGGTGAAGCACCACTCCCTGTTGTGAAGCACCACTCCCTGTGGTGAAGCACCACTCCCTGTTGTGAAGCTCCACTCCCTGTTGTGAAGCTCCACTCCCTGTTGTGAAGGTCCACTCCCTGTTGTGAAGCAACACTCCCTGTTGTGAAGCTCCACTCCCTGTTGTGAAGCTCCACTCCCTGTTGTGAAGCTCCACTCCCTGTTGTGAAGCTCCACTCCCTGTTGTGAAGCTCCACTCCCTGTTGTGAAGCTCCACTCCCTGTTGTGAAGCTCCACTCCCTGTTGTGAAGCACCAATCCCTGCGGTGAAGCAGGGAGAAGATAATCAAGACTTCAATATATCGGGTTGAAGGTCGGTGGCTGTGTGTCAGATGACTGAGGATGCGACCAATCTGGGTCGGGAAGGCTCCCCCACACAAGGGACATTTGTGGGTGAGTGCAACTTGTTACGGGTTTTCACTCCCACTGGACCTGGGTGCCACTGACCACCCTTGGAGCACCTCACTCTACCACGGGCTGGAGTTCCTTCCTGCAAGCCGGCCTTGCACCCGTGGCGAGTGAGGTAGGCCCGACTCTTCCTCTTGGCTCCTTTCACAGAAACTTGATATCCTCGGCCGAGCCTGCCCGAGATAAACAACCTGCTCACTGGTTGAGTTACTCGCTCAACTTGTATATATCCACTCGGCTGCGCTCAGCATGCACAGCCCACAAGTTCGCCAGCTGAGCTCCCGTATACTCACGACCCAGCAATACTAATTCAGTGGTCATATCAATAGTTTCCACCCTAGAATTCCTTGACAGGGTGTAGGTGTGCAACAATTTAATCGCTCTACTAATTATTTATGAGATGGAGGAGATAACATAAACACACGGGTAAAATAAAAGTGAGTTTACTGAGTAAAATCTATATGGGATGTCTGGCCCTAGCTTCGGTGCGGGGCAGACGTGTTGAATCGGCGCTCCAGCAGTTTGGTGTTGTTTGCCCGTTTCGGCCGGTTGGGGGCGGGTGTGTGTCTGCTCGCCTGTGCTGACGTGGCGTTACGATGGGGGTCCCTCTACCCCCAGTCGTCCGGGCTCAGTCTGTGGGACTAGAGTTCTCTGTGCGGGCTGGTTACCCGGAGATTGCCCTGGCTTGTGAACTGCTCTCTGTCCCTGTGTTTGCGATTTATGGGGTCGAGTTGGTAACGGCCCGTAGGGCCATTGTGAAGTTTGCAGAGGAGGCGGCGTATCGCGATTTTCTCCGGCGATACGAGGGGCGGACACTGCCCCTGCCGGATGGTGCGGGCACTGTCACCCTCTCGGATAGAAGTGGTGCACTTACTTACATCAGTGTGCATGGGGCTCCCTTGGAGTTTCCAGAGGCTCTGCTACGGCGGTATTTCGGGCGGTTTGGCGCAGTTGTTAGTGTGAGAGTGAACGTGGTGTCTTCTAGTCCTCTTAAGGGTGTGAGGTCTAACATTCGCACCCTGGGCATGAGACTCCGGGCGGATATTCCGTCCTCTGTGCGCCTTATGGGGTACAACGTTCGGGTGTTTTACGCCCGTCAGCCGCGGACGTGTTATCGTTGTGGTCTTTTGGGCCATCAGGCTGCTGACTGTTCTGCGCCTCCTGTTGCACCAGTGAACCTCTTCAGTGAGGAGGATTTTCCGCCCCTTCCTGTGGGGGATGATTCGGTGGGTATGGACGTCTCTTCGGCTGAGGAGGTGCCCTCTGTAGCAGCTGTTGCTCCGCCTGTTGCGCCCCCTGTTGTTGCCGCATCTCTTCCAGAGGTTGGGTCCTCGCCTAGTGCTCCGGCTGATGTCCCTGCGCCTCTTCCGCCTGCCGTTTGCTCAGACCCCTCGTCTTCCAGTTCTTCCTCTGCTGTGTCTGTCCCGGTCCCTGCACCCTCGCCGTCTGTCCCGGCTGTGCTGGGAGATGAGGTGGATCCGGAATTCCCTCCTGTGCCTGGCCTGGTGCCCCGTGTGGTTGAGGAGGCTGCCGTGCTGCGGCGTGCGTCGGTTCGCTCGGTTGGTGCTGCGCGGGTCGCTGAGTCTGCCTCCGGGTCTGATGATGTGCGGCCCGAGCCTAAGCGTTCCCGGCGTTCTTCTGTGTGGGCTGATGTTGGCGAATTCGACGAGTGTCGTCCTTCCGTTGACGGTGGCGTGGCTCCGGATGTGGTGCACACTACGGTGGTGGCGGAGGTACACTTGCCTGAGGATGCCGGTGCCGGCGTTTCGGCCTCCACTTCTGGTCCGGTGTCCGAGGGTCCTGCTTCAGGTGCGTTGCCTGCGTCGGATGGCTCCGGTTCTTCGTGGGCGGTGGTTCCCCCTGCTGTAGTTGGTGGTGAGCGGGGTGGCCTGGTGGTGATGTTGAGAAAGGATGCTCGCTCTGGATGTTCTGTGGCTCCTTCCTCGTTACCCGTTTCCTCGGCGGCGGTCTTGCCGCCTCTTCCGTTTCCTGCAGTCCCTTCCGTGTCTCCTGCGGTATCCGTGGAAGTGCTATCGTCTCAGCGTCCGACACCTGCTCCGATGGCGAAGGCGTGGCAGGCTCGGCGTCCCTCGTCCGCTTCTCCGGTGTCGTCTGCTTCCTCGAAGGGCGTGGTTGGCGCTCCCCAGCCTCGTTATGCGACTTGCGTCAGTGACCTTAGGCATTGGCCGATGCCGCCAGATATAGATGTTCCTGAGTTTATGATACCCGCTCGAGCGCGGGGGATCAAAAACCCTACCGACCTTGAAGATCTCGTCTGGGAAGCTTACAAGTCGAAATATCCTTGTGAGCTGTTCCCGGAGAAGTACGTTTCTTCCGATGTTCCTCGCATGTGATTTCTCTGTATTTTGTGTTGCCTGGTTGTGGGGTGTGTGTGTGAGTGGGTGGGGTGGGTATTGTTTCCCGGTTCCTGCGTGCTCCGGTTTGTTTTGTTTTTTTTTTTTGTATGGCTCGTGGGGGGGGGGGGGGTGTGCGGTTCCTATGCGTTTGTGTGTTCGGTTATGGTTGTCGTGTGCGCTTGTTTGTCATATTGTGTGCCCTTCAGGCTGTTGGCGTGTGCTCTTTGTTATGTTTTGCCTTCCGTTTGTTATGGCGGATCTGTTTTCTTTATTGTTATTGTCCTTATTCTTGTATGTTTCTCGCCTCTCTGTATGTATTTGAGGTGTTAGCAGGCTTGTTTTGTGTGCATTTTGTCCTGGGGTTTTCCCTTATGTTTGTTTTACACTGTGTTACTAATTGTGTATTGTTTGTATATGCATTTTTTTGTGGTCAGCCCTTCTGGCTGGTCTTCTATTGATTTGTTCCTTTGTCCTTGTACATATGTGTGCTTTGTACTTTTGTTCTATGTTATATTTGTTCTGTTTTTCTTGTACATTATACGCATGCTTGCATGTAAAAATAAAAAAAAA